CGTGGGGTGGAGGGGGTGGGGGGCTGCGGTTCATTGGGGTCTGTGGTCCATGGGGGTCTGTGGTCCATGGAGGGATGAGGTCCACGGGGGCTGATGTCCATGGGGTCCTGCCTTGGCTCCGCACACCGGTGGTGTGAATGCTGCTGTGGGGGTCATGGTGAATGCTTTTCCCCCCCCCCCTTCCCCCCCTACATCCCACTGCCTCGTGTGCCCTCAGGGAAGGAGTGCGACCTGAACCGGCAGTGCGGCGTGCTGAACCCCGACACCAAGAAGGTTTGCACCCGCCTGCTCACCTGCAAGGTAGCACCGTGAATCCGTCCTGGGGGGTTGCATGGCAACGGGGTTTTGCCCTTCTGGTAGCGGGTGTTGGGATGGGGGGGGGGTCTCCTACCCAAAAGGGGACGCGTGGGAAGGGCCCTCGTGGTGTGACCCCCCCATCTTCACCCTACAGATCCACTCGGTGCACCAGCGGCGCGAGGTGCAGGGCCGTGCCAAGGACTTTGACGTGCTGGTGGCCGAGCTGAAGGCCAGCTCCCGGCGTGAAGCCCCAAAAGAAAAAAGCCCCCCCAGCAAGGACCCCCCCGGCACCGAACCACCCACCCCCCCTGCGCTGCCGCAGCCCCCCGCCGCCCCTCCCGGCGCATCGCCCTGCCGCCCCAGACCCCCCCACACCCACTGCCCGCCCCCCAGGTGAGCACCCGCCGTCCCCCACCGCTGTCCCCCCCCCTTCCCAGCCGTGTCCCCCCCATCTCTCACCACCTGCCTCCTGCACAGGGCTCGGCTCTCCTCCGACAGCGACCCCGAGGAGGGGGACGGGGGGCTCTTCCCCTTCCCCCTGCCCAAGGAGGGGGGCAGTCGGGGGTCCAGCGAGGACAGCGAGGAGGAGGGGGCTGCAGAGGACGCCCACCGCCCCGACTGCCACTACGCTGCCCGCCCACCGCAGCCTCAAGCGGTGAGTTGGGTTGGGTGCCCCCCGCTGCGGTGTGGATGGGGGGGTCACCCGGTCTGACCCCCCCCCCACTTTCCCCCATATCCCTCATAGTTCTGCACCTTTGGGAGCCGTTTGGTCAGCCCGGGCTGCTACGTCTTTAACCGGAGGCTCGACCGCTTCTGCTCGGCGCTGAGCTCCATGCTGGAGAGGCACCTCAGCTCACACATGTGGAGGTAATGGGGGGGGGGCTGGAGGGGCTGGGGGGGCTGCAGAGTTCACCTGGTGTTCTGCTGCACGGTGTGCTGGGGGCGCACAGAGCTGTGGGTTGGGTGCTGTGGGCTGGTGGGGCTCCCAGAGGGGAGGGGAGTGGTGAGTTGGGGGGGGTCCCATTCAGGAAGAGAGCAGAGATGTGTGTGGGGGTCACACTGGGCAAGGGAACAGATATTGGGGAGGGGTCCTATATGTGAAAGGGGCAGTGAGAGGGACCCAGGCAGTGGTGACTGGGGGATCCTGTTGGAAGGGAGCAGAGATATGGGAGGCTCCTGTCTGGCTGTGAAACAGTGATGTGGGGGGGTCACATCACACCAGTGATGTCAGAGCGATCCCATCCATGGAGAGGACAGAGATTTGGGGGTGAGGTTCCATGCAGGAAAGGCACAGCGACACGGGGGGGCTCCAGCCGTAGCATGAATCCGGGGGGGTTCTGTCCATTGAAACTCAGCCTTTTG